CCCCAAAACCCCAAAACCCCAAAACCCCGACTTAGAGTGAGGATGTTGAAGCTTAATATCAGGTCACAGGAAAAAATATGGAGTTTTTATATGTTTGGAGTGGATTTTTAAAGAAGAAAGTTGATGAAGAGTGGGTTTATAGATGGAGAATGCAAGTTATTGTAGATCTTCATTAATTTTGATGCTTTTGTGAGCGAGATAGTGGTCTATCATGTTCACCATTTCCTGGTTTGTGTAGCTGAAATTGAGGCGGGCTCTTTTGCCCTGCATTGCTACTGCATATAAGTCGTATGTCTTGGCAGCTTCGATTTCATTAGAGAAAGTACCGATGTATTTCTTCTCATGGTTGACGTTGATCAATGCCTGCCAGTTAACGTTGTTTTTAGTAACCCCAATGTACTTGGACCTCCTTCCAAGATATTTGTCTGTCGTGTACCTTGTCTTTTTGGTTGAACGTAAGAAAGGGCCAACAGGCTTACTGAGAATAATTTTCTTAATTATAGGTAGCCTGTCTGTTATATCAAGCTTCCAAGACCGTCTTCTCCTTGGTTTGACTACTTTGTTTGCTGTTGAAACATCTTTATGCACTCTCACAAATAACTCGTTTTCTTCAGAGGAGTTTTCGGTCATCCGAGGTTCTATTTTAGGTGGCATTTTATTCAATTCATGAGAAACCGAGGAGTCTCCTTCTTCCTGATTTACTCATCTATAATTATGTTAAACATGAAATAAAACAAGCGAATGAAAGATTATTGCTCTATTTAGTTGCTTCTTTCCTTTTGAGATAGACTCTTACCCTAGGTTGTAAAACTTCTTCGAGTTGTTTGAACAGGGAGGAGAACATTGATCTTCTTCTGATCAACCTCTCTTGGTCTTGGAACAGGAGCTGCTTACTACTGAACAAACTCAAGAAGTTTTGCATAGTTTCTTGAGTGCAATTCAAGAATTTCGATCCAAGAGAGAATCCTTTGGTATGTTAGATCAATGTTTGCAAAAGTTCATTTTTATTAAATATTATGAAATTTTTATTCCCTTGTGCTTATGTATAAGGCACTCGACCTTAAACTTGTTTTACAAGAGTGCCTAACAAGAGGGACGAAGGGCTTAAAAATATATCAAAAATAAAGAAATAATTAGTATTTTTCCCCTTCAGCTTTCAAGCCATCTTTTAATTTTTGTTCCGTCTTCCAATAGTACCCACGCAAGTTTGATAACTAATAAAAATAATAATATTTAGGTCCAAAGAATTTACTGTTAGATTTTTACTGCAGATAAGCCCTCAAAAGGATTAAGACGAACTGGGAAGACTCATCCCAGAGTCGTCAGACCATGATTAACAAATCTTTGATTCATGATCCAATAATTGTCATAATTATAGGAAATAGTAGACTTTTGAACTGAATTAAAAAAGTGGTGACTAACCTGCCATTTTCAGTAAAAACAGTACTAATTGACTATACAAACTGTTATAGAGACGAGGAGAATTTTAATTAAGTTGAGAGATGCCTCCCTAATGTTTAGTAAAGTGGGCTTAGACTAGGATTCCCGAGGTTTCTAAGAATTGCCCTGACTTTTTGTCACTAAAAATGAAGCTGTAAGATATCAAGACAGCTAGAGATTTTGCTAATAAATAGTCTATAAGTAAAGCTCTTAGCCACCCCAGCGACAACTTGGGCTTCTGCCAAGAATATTCTTTTTGAAAAATTTGGTTAAACTGGCTTTCCAAAATAGTTCAAACGAGCCAATAAATTGGAAAATACTTGGCTGAATAAGACTGAAGCCATACATAAACTAATAATGAGGTTAGGAAGCCTTGGGTGCTATTTCATGCCTCCAGCTTATTAAATATGTCTTAAGGAATAGTCTCATAGTGATAGTTTGCTTAATAAAATTTCCAACCGCTCAAGATTTTTGCTACAGAGACATCTCCATATATTTAAAGACTTATATAGTACTCCCAAAGGTTTCAAAGTTGTATTTGTCTTATGCGAAATCAAAATTTTATTCTCCAAAATATCTGTGTTCAGCCATGATGTCTCGAAATTTCAACCCCAAAATATTGATTTGGGGTTTTGGGGTTTTGGGGTTTTGGGGTTTTGGGG